AAGCACATAGCCTTTCACTTAGTAATATGCATTTCAGTTTCCCCTATGTCTTTTCATGCTTTGATAGCTCTTTTTCCTTTCTCTTTTTTTAGTGCTTTTATTTCATTATCTGGCTGTACCACAGTCTATTTAGCCATTCACCTACTGAAGGACATCCTGATTGCTTCAGCGTTTTGGAAGTGGTGAATAAAGTTGCTACAAACATCTGTGTGCAGGTTTTTGGGTGGATCTCTTTTATTTTTATTTCTTTATTTTCTACAGTGAACATTTCTTTAATTTGTAATAATATTAAGAAATTCTTCCTTGAAGAAAATATGGAAAGCCTTCACTCAATATTTGGTTTAGCTGTTTGGAAGTTTGAATGGTTAGGTTTTGTTTTTTGTTTTTTTTTTTTTAATACTCAGCTTGAAAAAAGAAATGGAAATGTGATCATTTGTGTTTAATGAGTTTTCACTTGGGATGTCAAATAATGACAATAAAATAATTCAACATAGATTACTTACTCTTTGTGGCTCTGTGTTAAGTTCTTATCAAGAACTGTCTCATTTATGTATAATCTCACATGTGGAATTAAAAAGAAACTGACTGTAAAATCAGAGAACAGATTCAGGTCGGGGGGAGGAGCGGGAAGATGGGTGAAGGTGATCAGAACGTAGATACTTCTCGTTTTAAGATAAAAATTTCTGGGGATGTAATGTACAGCATGGTGACTATCGATGATAGTACTACATTGCATATATCAAAATTGCTAAGTGAGTTCACCTTAAAAGTTCTCATCACAAGAAAAAACTGGTAATTATAGGAGGGAATGGATGTTAACTAGGTTTATTGTTGAAGTCATTTTGCAATATATACATATAGCAAATCATTATGTCTTATGCCTTAAACTAATAGTGTTATATGCTAGTTATATCTGAGTAAAACTAGGGGCAAGGAGAATGATCTCATTTCATTTTCAAAGGAAGGGTGGGGCCCTCAGTCATGGTGGGTGGTGTTGGTGGTTTCCATATATTAAGCAATATTTGGCTTCCATTAATTCTTTTCTACCAACTTTTTACAAAAAGATATTTATTTATTTCTAGAGAGAGGGGAAGGGAGAAAGAAAGGGAGAGAAACATCCATGTTCAAGAAGGAACATTGGTCAGTTGCTTCTGGCACTTCCCCACCTGGGGACCTGGCCTGCAACCCAGGTATATGCCCTGACCAGGAATCGAACTGGTGACGTTTAGGTTTGCAGAACGACACCCAATCCACTGAGCTACAAGCAGTCAGGGCTCAACCGACTCTTACTTACTAACAAGAATGTAGAAAGAAGGAGGGTGGGTTTTCAAATTTATTAAAAAATTTTTTTTGTACTTGTTCCTTCTCTTCCACATGTCCAGATCCCAGTTCTCTTTGAAAAGACAACGGAAATGAAAACATCTATATGTTCATCTACGTAAATTACAATGTGGTCCTCAGTATCAAGATTATTTGCTATGTTTAGTAAGTGACTTTGCTGATCTACGATCATTTAAGCCCTGGCCTTGTAGTGCCGTTAGTCATCTCCATACTCCAAAAGATTGTGGGTTCAATCCCTGGTCAGGGCACATACTTAGGTTCCGAGTTCGATGCTCGGTCTGGGTGCATATGGGAGGCAACTGATCGGTGTTTCTCTCTCCCTAAAAAGAACCCATAAGAACATATCCTCAGGTGAAGATTTAAAAAAATTATGTTAACAATTCTTTGACTTATAAATCCAGGAAAATTAGTGTGTATTAAGCCACACACGTTGTACAGATTTCCCAAGTAAACTAAATGTTGAAAACCCAAATAGAAAAAGACTCTCTTGAAGAAAACAGGAGAAACAGCCACCATTATATTTTGCCAAAGGGACCCCAGATTGGTACAATCACTTGGAGAACCAGTTTGACAGTATCTAGAAAATAGGCACACTTTGTAATCTTAGTTTCATAATTGCCCCAAACTAAAACAACCCTACTGTTCATTAACAGTAGAATAAATAATTATATTCACACATCAAAAATAAATTTGACATTGAGTTGGCCATAAAGTTCATTTAGTTTTTTTCCATATGATGGCTCTAGTAGTGTTTAGTTGTCTTTAACTTCATTTGAAAAAATTTTGTGAGATTGTATGGTGACAGCTGTCATATCAGCGTGCGTTTTACAAAACTTATCAAAATTGGTGAATTTTTGTGCAGCCATTTTCACATTGAAGATGGGAAATACACATTTTCAGTGCATTATGCTTTATTATTTCAAGAAAGATAAAAACACAACTGAAAAGTAAAAAAAGATTTGGGCCGTATATGGAGAAGGTGCTGTGACTGACTGAATGTGTCAAAAATGTTTTGCAAAGTTTCTTGGTATTATTGACATTTTAGCCAAATAATTCTTTGCTGTGGGGCTGCCTTATACATTGGGAGATGTTTAGCAGCCCCCTTCTACCCACTAGAAGCCAGCAGGAGATAGCCAACATACTCAAAATGTCCAAATCAGTAGTTATTGGTGAAAATGAAAAATGTGTCTTTTATTTTATGGAAAAGTCTGAACAGACTTTTTGGCCAACCCAATAGTACTGAACAATAACATGGTTAAATCTTAAAAAAGAAGTGTTGATTGAAAGAAGATAGAAGAATATATAACTTATGACTTTATTAATGTAGTGTTCAGAAGCAAACAATATAAACCATGGCATTTAGGGATGCATACTCAGAGGGCAAATGCAAGGAATATTTATTGTAACAAGCATATCAATAATTAGTTTAGAGGAAAAGGATTATAATAGGGGAGGGAAACAGAGCTCTGAAGACATGTCTCTTTCTTGATGGTTTAGATGAGTGTTTGCTTTATAATTTGTTAGTTTATATATTTATGTTTTATATACATATCTGTGTGTGCTATGGTTCTAGTGAAAACATTAAAAAAGAGAAAAATCAAAGGTTTTTTATTATAGCTCTTTATTTAAAAACATAACCAGATACTCCTTGGTAGTTTATATTCTCTGGTTGTCATTTAGTCTCAGTATAAACAATGGGAGCATATGATCAGCAACAGTTTAATGAAGCTGTAGCATTTACAGGATTCTCAAATGAGTACAATATAAAATCTGTCATAAAAAATAGTAAATGAATGCAAGGTAGAATACATTTTAATACTGGTACAATGGCAAGAGCAGCTTACAAATATTTATCTACAGTATTTCTATAACATTTTTAATGAAACTTTATTCCACAAGAATGATCAAATCATTTAAATTAAATTCATATAACACATAGTCATTTATTAATATAAGAAACACTCTGAATGCCTCAAAATATTTTGTACAAATATTCAGCTTCTTCATTCTCAGTAATCATTCTTTTTATTCACACATAAATGTAGCTAGTGGATTAAAAAAACTTTCACTGGAAGCACATATGTTTCTTAACCTTATTATCTGTTAATTTTTATCTATAAATGTGCTGTAAACATAAATGGGGCTGTCATAAAAACAAAAGTGTCCCCAGGTCTTATTTCCAGTCTGGAAACTTTTATAACACTATTTGGCATCTGAAAACAATATTTATCTGGGAAATTGCTAAAATAACTTTTTAGCCTAAGCTAACCAGGAGATATTTCAAGGATATTTTCTATGTAGCTGCTTCCTCAGGCTAAAAAGTGCAGTGATGATGTGAAATTCCTTGGTTACTTATCCATGAAGAACTGCTATCCTTATTCCTGGAACTGCAGTAGAGATACAGCATAATGCTAATCTGGCACATTCAGTCCCACTCACACTAATCAGAGTTCCCCTTTCTCCTTGTTACTTGGAACATTAGTGGTAGGGATCCTTGTTGAAGCTATAATAGTGTCCACTGCTTAGCAGATATGTCTGAAGAACTGGGGGCTCCCAGAAATACTTGGCAACTTTGTAGAGGACTGACCGATAGGGTCACCAAATAAAATGTAGAATGCCCAGTTAAATTTGAATTTCAGGTAAACAATGAATTTTGTTTTAGTATACATATGTCCCATGCAATATTTGGGGCATAATTATATTAAAAAGTATTCATTGTTTAATGTGACATATTTATATTTCAAAGTTATTTGTTGTTTATCTGAATTTCAAATTTGATTGGATATTACATGTTTATGTTTATTAAATCTGGCAACCCTGGACTAGCAGGAAAGAACAAAAATACAGTTAGGTATGCATTATTACTCTTATTGAATCAACAGGCTATTGAGGACAGGGTATCAGGTCTTATAGTGAACCTCCTATAGACCGCAGAGCATCCTTCAGAGAGTACTGCAGAAAATACAAGGTTCATGTTGAATCTTCATGAAATTTTTACTTAGTTATATGAATGTGGGCAGCAGACATCAAAATAACAAATACCTCAGACTTCAGTGAGCCAGATATAACTACCTACCTACCTAAGATACTAGAAATTATCATTCTAATTTTTAAGGTTATACTGGATCTTTTGCTTCCAAACCTTTGGGAAAATAGTTGGGTTTGGATGGAGGATGGTCTTACCTCCGGTTTATAATGACGAGAAACAAATCCAGAGGGTCTTTCTAATTGATCGAGTTTGTAGTACTTAATGAATGCATGAACTTTACAGGCTGAAATACTTTTCAATGACCTGAAAATACCCAAGATTAATGGGAACTAGGTTATTGTCTTAAGGTTAGACCTGTACCTACAGAGTACAAATTAGAATTATCTAGTTAAATTTGAATAAGCTCTCTATATTGAGCAATTCCAGAATAAACATTGCTTTGGGGATTGTACTGTCCTTCTGTTCTCTTACTGATCATGCAAACTATAAAATATCCAAACACCTACTTTATACCACAGTATATAGTATATATGGGTTCCATACATACTGTAATTCCTTTAAATGAAATTATATATTAGAATAAGTATTTATACATACTACATTTTTAAAAAAGGAGTGAGGTGATTTTATCAGCATATTTTATGGATGATCACATGCAGTCAGGCAGAGCTGGCATCAGTGTTATTCCTCAAAGCTGCTTGTAGAAAATGGCAGACTTTGAGATGGGCTTCTAGGGTGAGCCAGCTATGGGGAAAAAAAAACCAAACAAACAGGGTCTCAATTATTACATGGATTATGTTCCTATAGCCAACATGACTCTCCTTCTTCCTCAATAACAGAACCCAGACTTTGTGCAAGGCAGCAATGCATCCAGATTCTAAAAACCCATTTTCCCACTTTTCTTGGTATAATCATAAGTTCCTGGATAACTGTTTAAAGAGATGAAGGATAGCTTAGCTAGCATCCCCTCTTATCCTGCTTAGAATGTAGGTGTGAGGATTCAGGAGTATAGCCATTCTGTACCCTAATCAAAGCCACACATTAAAGATGAAAGAGCAGCGAAGACATGGTGAAGCTGCAGTACAGACTGCCTATTTCTCTAGGGAATATGTAGGTAAGAAAAATAAGCCCCTAGTTGGTTAAGACGCTGTAATCTGATTTCTGTTACCTGCAGCAAAATGTAAGACCTAACTGAAACAGTTGCTTCAGAGTTGAAGAGGAAAGGAAGCCAAAGGGCTGGTGCCCAACAACAGTTTTTACTAGACATCTTCCTAGTGAGTGACTTTTGAGGAGCACACATATGGCATAGGTCTTATCTGTGATTTTTGATGATGTTGTTCAATATGTGGGTATGCTACTTATCATATTTTTATTTGTATCTACATTACCCAGCCCACTATAGTGGTTATGGGGTAGGGTTGGGACAAAAAGGATCCTAGAGCTGAGCAAGGAAAAGACGGGACTTAGTCCTTCAGTGAGGCCACTGCCCTTTGCCCTTGCCCTCCACAATCTGTGGTATCGCCAAGGAAGGTGGTCTGGGGGGAGATTCTTATTGGATGCTCCAAAAGGAGGAGAGGAACCTGGCCACACCTCCAAAAAATAATATATAATGCCCAGGTCTCCCTCTTGAATTGGCAAGGAGACCAAGCTGTCCTGCCAAAGGCATGGATTCTTAATGAGGAAATGAAAGGAGGACGGTGTTGGGGTGGCAGAATGTCAGCAGTGGAGTTCTTCGGTGTGTCTCTGCTGCCAGAGGGACACAGAAACGTAAGCTTCATAGCCAAAGAGGCCAGCAGCCCTGCATTCCCGCATTCTAGCAGGGGTAGCAGAAGGAAGGCTGCTCCTTACAGATCTGGTGACTAGGCAGATGAAAGAGATAAACAGGGCTTCGAAAAAAATTACATGAGGCAAGCTGATGTACTGGATTTTGGTGAGTGGGCACACATGTAGATGAAAAAGAAAAGAGATGACAAGACCTTTTCCTAGAAGTCTGCATGGTCTGACTCCTGGCTTCATCTCCATCACTGGCTGCCAAGCTTGTTCTCTCTGTTACAGCCATACTGGCCGCTTTTCAGTTCCTCTGATAGGCCATAATTCCTCTTTGTTCCATGATATCCATGGGGGATCCACCCCCACAACCCACGGGCACCCTTCCCAGTTAATGACTACTCATCTTTCAAGTCTCACCATATCACTTCCTGAGGGAACCTTTTCTAAATCAACCAGCCTAGATTAAGTTCCTCTTTGGATTCTCAAAGGACCCTGTTCCTTTCCCTCACAGCACTTACTACAGTGCAAAATTATACATCTATGTGATTATTTGATTAGCATCTATTTTGCCCACTAGACTGAAAGCTCCAAAACCGTAGATCTGTGTCTGTTTTTGCTTACCATTGCATTCCTGGTACTGTAGCACAGTGCCTGGCATATGGGAAGTGTTTAATCAATACTTAGTAAAGGGATGTTAAAAAACAGACAATCATTGCTAAAGTGAAGATGATAATCCTTGCTATCTCTTAGACTTGTACGAAGCCTAAATATATATTTTGTAAAGCATAAAGTGCCATTGTAAAACTATTATTATTAAGAAAGCTGCTTTCTTAATCATATTTAGATTATGATTCTAAATAAATTATTTTGAAGGAACCAAAAATGTTTTCTTTTCTTCCTCCCAAAGGCTTACCTGAAACTTTTTCCTCAAGGCCCGTGTCATTACTGGGGTCAGTCCAGTTCCCGTTTCCATATTTTCTTTATTGATAAGTGGGGTCCCACCTGGGCTCCTGCAAAGTTAATGAAAATATTAGAGATTGTGTTTTATGCCAATTATCAAGTGGACTTAGAACGCATAAAGATAAGAGAGTGTGTTACCTTTCTATATCGACTTTTCTAAGTAGTTTCCGTAGATCTATCTGACTTTTACCAGGAGTACTGACAAAATAAAGACATCAAAGTTAGAACTTGCTAGATTTTATCATGTTTCCTAAAGCAAAGCAGTCATTTTTAAAGGCAATATGCTAGAAAGTAGAAAGTGGTACATTAAAAAACTAGTAGTAGATGTTGATAGGGGCATATGATGATATAATAATTCTTACAAGCAATACCTCTTAACTTAGTAATTACATGTATAAAATCCATTTCAGGGAAAGACTCAGCTATGCACATAATATAGATAACATCAGCTATGACAAGGATGTTCACTGAACTTACAGAAAATTGTAAACAACCTAAATGTCTCTAAACAGGATTTTTAGCTATAGAATTTACACATAATAAACTATTATATATTAATAGTATATATTAAAGAAGTCAAAATGATGCTTTAAACTAATTTTTAATAAGATGGGAGAAACCTCATGACACATTGAATGGGAAAAGTCATAACTGTATCTACAATATGATTATGCACAGGTATATATACATATATACATTTCCTTAATTCTAAGACATACTAATTTTTATATTTTATTATTTCTGAAATTGAGCTGTTTTAAAATTTATTTTATTGAGGTATAAGTTACTAAAAGTCCTTTTTTTAAAGGTTTTATTTACTTATTTTTAGAGAGAGAAAGAGAGGGAGAGAAACATTAATGTGTGGTTGCCTCTTATGTGCCCCTCACTGGGGACCTGGCCTGCAACCCAGACATGCACCCTGACTGGGAACTGAACAGGCGACCCTTTGGTTTGCAGGCTGGCACTCAATCCACTGAGCCACACCAGCCAGGGCTAAAATTGTTGATAGTATCTTTTCCCCCTTAAAACCTGTTATTAAATCAATGGCAATCTTCAATGATATATTTATTTGGATGATTTTTGTTTTCTTTTTTAAACTTTTTGGTAGATACTACTTTTTCTATAGTATGCATATATAATTTTTAATAAAGTTAGAAAAGAGTAAAAAAATCATTCTTTTAAGTAGTGGCAGAGCGTAACATAGTGTAATTCCTTACATTAGGACATTTGTAACTCGAGTTGGTAACACTTTGGAGTTCGGCTTCAGGGTAACACGCTGCAGGTCAGAGACAGTAACTAGCGGATTCCGTGTCTTTGGTGATGGAACAAGCTTTAATCACAAAATGAGATGTTATTAAAACCACATTTAAAATATTCAAAATGTAAACATGCTGAAACAATGAGTATTTGAGTGCTGAGTATGTGTAAGATATATCCACTACTCCACACAAATTTTTATTCTAAAGCGTCAAAGTACTAGTATATCTCTACTTCTTCATTCAGAATAATGGTTGGTACATAAAACGGCCTAATTAAATAATTTTGGAATCTACATATTTTGTTGTGGAGAGCCATAACTACTTAAATAAGACATCATACACTTACCTTGGAATAGCTTATATTTTGGAATGGGTGGAATGGCTTATATTTTGTTTCCATAAAGGGACAACCAGGCTAATAGATGAAAGACTATATGTATGGTCGATGATATCATACCTTTTCCCTTTCACCAAAAAAACTCTGTGTTTTCTTTAATTTCACAGTCTGTAGATCTTTAACTGTTATCTGCATGGGTCCATCTTTTTTTAGTGGTCCAGCCTTAAAATACATGGAGAGATTGGAATTCAATTTGATACCTAGTCATGATACCTAGTCAAATGCAAATCCAAATATAGTTTTTAAAGACCCGGAGTTAAAAGTTAACTCTTCTTCACCCTAGGAACCCATCCAGTTCTTTTCACTCAACCAAGGAATGATACTGTTTTCAGTACCCAAAGATACTAAGGCTGTTGAAAGTATTCATCAAAAGCTACAGCTTTGATAATAAGAGATGCACTAATTCCCTGCAACCATGCTCCTTCCTCAGGAGTCATTAAGACAGGAGTTGAAGTAGTTCCTCGAATCAAAATGAAGTTTACTTGAACTACATGGAAAGAAGATTCATTTCCCACAGAGCAAAAATATGTAGTCAGAGAGGAATACGTTAGGGCAAATATGGCAATAGGCTCTGGCTTTAACTCAGCCAATTATAAATCAAAAGTATCTACAGTGAAAATTCAGCAGATTTTTAAACAGGGCCATGCCTATTTTAGAGATTCACACATATTCCTGTCCCCTTGGAAGGTAAGTAAACCTAATAGAGACTGGTTCTCCAGCCTAGTAGCATTGTACTTTAGGATCCGCTGACCCTTTTTATACTGAGTTCACTCACTAAGCCATTCTCTGTTCTTAATCTGGTATCCCAGGGAGGTTTTCCTTTTAGTAAAAAGATACGCTGGCAGTTTTCAAGGGAAACTAAATGGCGTAGTTGAAGAAACAAAAAAGATATGCTGAGAAACCAACAAAAATCTTCTATTCTACTGAGTTTCATTCATGTATCCTTAAAAAAAAAAAATCACTTTCACTTCTATATCCAGCTTGTGTAAGTTTCCAGTGGACCAAGTTTTTATAAACACAATAATTGATATAATTAAGATATGGGATCATAAAAAAATATAGCTTTCCTGTCAAAGTCCTTAGCCCAGCTCTAAAGGGCCACTTGTCTTTACTCCTCCATTATACACCGACCAAAACGCATCTTTACTAGATTGTTTTTTACCTGAAGTGCTTTAGTGAGGTTGGATTTTCTGAGCAGCAAAGGTGCTGTGGGTTGTGGAGGTGGAGGCAGAGGAGGAGGTGGAGGAGGTGGAGGAGGTGGAGGGGGTGGAAGTGGTGGCTGTGGCAGTGTGGCAGGAAGTACAGCCTGGGATTCTCCAGGGGTGGTTAGAGCACAGGGAGGCACGTTTGTAAGTTTACCACTCATGTAACAGGCTTGACCACAGCTTGGACAGGAAGAATTTTCTGAGATGGTCTGAAAGAAGACATTACATTTAGCAAAGGAGTAACAGGTTAATTTGGTTTTTGCAGCTGAGAATCATTAAAATAATAGCTACTATATTGAATACTTTCTCAGTATACCATGTGCTTCATAGTATTTTATTATCACCAATTTGTTCGTTCGTTCATTCATTCATTCATTCATTCATTCATTCATTCATTCATACTATGGGTCAATGTGAGCCCTGTCTGCAACCTCATGGGGCTGACATTCTGGTGAGGAACACAGGCATTAAACACACACAAATATTCTCAAAACCAAACAAAATAATAATTCAATAAGAGTAAGGAAGTGTGCTGAGGGCATGAAGAGTGAGAAGCCTGGGAAGTAACATTTAGCCATAATCTCAAGGGTGAATTGAGATTTAACATATGAAGGCAGATAAGGACTGGGGAAAGAGTTTCTAGCAGAGGGAAAAATACTTAGCAGCCAAGAATACAATATATTTAAGGAACTGATAAAAAGGCCAAAGGTTGTAACATAACTATAGGGACTGAATTTTGTACACACCCCATTCCAATCATATGTTGAAGTTTCAACCCCCAGTACCTCAGAATGTATTGAGAGATAGGGTCTTTAAAGAGGTGATTAAGTTAAAATAAGGCTGTCAGGGTGGGCTCTCATCCGATCTGACTGGTGTCCATATAAAAAAGAAAGTTTGACTATACAGGAGACGCCAGGGATGGACATGCACAGTGAAAAGACCATGTGTGGACACAGTAAGAAGGCAAGCCTAAGTGAGAGGCCTCAGGAAAAAAAAAACCCAAAATCAACCTAACCTTGATCTTGGGCTTCTAGCCTCCATAACTGTGAGAAAAATAAATTTCTGCTGTACAAGCCACTCAGTGTATGCTACTTTGTTATGGCAACCCTAGCAAAAGAATACAATGACCCTATCAAGTATGACCATTAAATAGTGTATTAGTTTCCTGTGGCTGCTGTAATAAGTTATCACAAACTTGGTGACTTAAAAATAATCAAAATTCATTTTCTCACAGTGCTGGGGCCTAGAAGTCCAAAATCAAGGTGTCAGCAGGACTGCGCTCTCTCCCAAGGCTCTGGGGAAGAATCCGTTCCTTGCCTCTTCCAGCTTCTGGTAGCTATCAGCATTCTTTGGCTGAGGCGGTATCACTTCTAATCTCTGCCTCTATGATCACACTGCTCCTCCTTTTCTGTGAGTTCTGCTCTGTGTGTCTTTTTTATAAGGACATTTACCATAGGATTTAGGGTATACCTAGATAACACAGAATGATCTTCTCATCTCAAAGCCTTAATTTTATCTGCAAAAACCCCTTTCCCCAAATAGGGTAGTATTTACAGGTTCCAGGGATTAGGACTTGGATATACCTTTTTGGAGGCCACCACTCAGCCCACTACAGATGGCATCATTCCCATTTTAAAGATGATGAAACTGAGGCCTAGAGGTGTGAAGGAGATTCGCCTTCCCCACTTTGCCTGGTTCATCTTGAGGTACACATTCTAGGAGCAGGGATATAACCTCAGAAGCTTCTCTCCAAACCAATGAGAGTAATGTTTATTTTTTGAGTTTTGGATGTTGAGAATAGAGGCCTTGCTTAGGAGTGTGGGGAGGGTAGATATTTATAGGGGTTTTTCCTGCCTATATCAGTCCAGAAAATAAAAACACTGTGAGATTTCAGAGGGGGAAGGTAATATAGGCAATTGATTCCATTGTTGATGGCAGAGTTGAGAAGCACACAGTGGGCAGTGAGGCAGCCCAGAAATTAGCAACAGCAGAAAGCTGTGAATACCTTGAGACTGCAGGGACAAAGGAAAGAGCAGTAGAAGCAGATCTCTGGAGCTAGGTTAACCCACAGAATCAAGAAATGTGGTAGACTTCCCTTGTGGGAGCTGGAATTTGAGAGACAACTACAACCGTTGCTGGAGAAATTACCCAACACAGAGAATGAAAGGGAGAAACACCCCATCTTCTCCCTCCCTCTAGTCTTTCATCAGTGTCTCTCATTAGCCCAGCACAACCAGGAACCAGGTGATGTGGAGCTTGGGAAATACGGCCTACAGGGGTCAGCGTGGGAAACAGAGGCTCCAGAGGTCAGCATCCCTGCAATACTTGGCAGAGCCTCAGTTTTCAGGAACAGATCAGAGGGCAAACAGGTCCAGGACTAGCCCTCTCCTATAGCCATTCCTTCTTCTAGTAAAAGCACATTGGGATTGCTATGGCGACAACCCCTTTCCTCCTTACCTGATTCCAGATTTGTTTTTTATTTGACATACTAACCTTCAGTGCTTCCTGGAGCTTGCACAATTCACTTTCCAAAATGCAAAACCGTTGTTTCAGACTATCAAGTTCTCGGTGGCAGGAACGGGAAGGAAAGATGGTGTCTTTCAGTATTTCTAAACTCTAAAATTAAAAAATACACAGCCTGACTCTGATGAGCAATAAGATAATGATGAGGAAAGAGGACAAGAAAGTGGTTTGATGTATGTTTTACAAAAACAAATATAGACGTGGCCCCACGATTTCATCTTATCTGAGCTTAGCCTGAGTGCCGTGCTGATCTGAGCACATACAGAGCAAGCATGTAGGAAAACCAACCGTATTGCTGAAAACAGGTACGTCGGACCCATACCTGGGCGATGCAGTTCTGGCACCAGTTGTATATAGACCATACCCTCCTTGTCCAAAGTTCTACTGCATCTTTGATACTGGGAAATTTGAAGCTCCAGGATGATCTTAGCCAGCTTCTGCTAAGGGATATATCTGTTGAAGAAATAAGCACTCTGTAGGAAAAACAAAACCAAATAGATTTAAAACACTTCTGAGTTGGAATAATAGCCTTTGATTAAACAACAAGCTGGTTTTACAGTACAAGTCAGGAACAGAGGATAATGAAAGCCACATTCTTCAGTAAATTCTAGAATTCTGGAATTCACATATGCAACAAATATTTGTTGAGTGAATAAACAGTAATGAATAAAATAAGAAATAAATAGGCATCAGGGATTCAGTAATGAACAAAATGGGCAAAACCTCTATCCTCATGGAGTTTACAGTCTCATGGGAGAAAGGTAAAAAACAAACAAACAAAGAAATAAATAAATAAATAACACATATGGATTGTCAGTGAATAAATATTAATGAGAAAAAGAAAAAGCAAGAGAGGGGAAATGTGAAATGTTGGATGGAGGTCAGACTTTAGGTAGGGTAGCCAGGAAGAGTCTCACTGAGAAGGGGACTTTTGAGAAGAAAAAACCTTAAGGAAGGAAAGAAGCTAACAGTGCAAAAACCTGAGAGAAGAGCACGCCGGCAGGGGCAATAGTAAGTGCAAAGGCCCTGAGACGGGAGCTTGAGGTGTTCTGAGGAATAGCACGGAGGCCAGGATGACTTGAGTGGAGAAATAGACTGGAAGACGGTTAAGAAATAATGTCAGAGTCAAATCATAAAGGTCTTGAGGGTCATACAAAGGACTTTAATTTTTACTTAGAGAGAAGAAGACATTGAAGATCTTTATGTAGAGAAGCAATATGACATGATTTTAACAGTCTCACTGCAGGTGGCGCAAGAGTAGAAGCAGAAAGACCAGTCAGGGGGCTTTCTCAATATTTGGGAGAGATAGAGAGGAGGATGATATCACGATTACTGCTTTTTTTTTTGAGGGCCTGTTTGTTTTAATTTTTTTCTGTAAAGACAGCTATAACAACAAAATGTATTAAGTATGTTATTGTGACACTTAGTATTCTCTCAGTAACACATTTAAGCCCTAAGCCCCGGTGAATAACTGATCAAACTTCACCAAAGCTAAGCTTTAAATTCTAGTCTTATACCTCTTTTTCATTGCTTCATTACCATATTTATGTAATGAAATTGACTAGGAAAATAGAAGATAGTTATTGTACACTTGTAACACAATTCCTTGTGATTATTACTTCATTTGAACTCTTAAACTATGGTTGCCACACAAAATGCAAGGATACTCAGTTAAAATTTAATTTCTGATAAATAATGAATATGTTTTAGTATATTAGTGATGTTACCTGGGACAATACAGAAATACTCATTGTTTAGCTGAAATTCAAATTTAACTGGGCACTCTGTACTTTCATTTGCTAAATGTAGTAACTATCCTAAACTGATGGGATTTTAAATATTTTCTGTGTTCCACATTATGCCTTACCTTTCTGCTGAGGGTGGTGGAGGAGGAGGTATAATCTGCTTGGAATGAAAGTGAGAGGCTTTTTTTTTTTTCAATAATCTTTTTGCTTTTGTTTTTAGCTTTCTTCTTTGTTGTTTAAACTTAAGCATGATTTCTGTAGAGAAAAAAATTTTGACTTTTTTTCTTGAAGAATACTATATACATATAGAAAATGTACAACTGTTTAGGTGTTATCTATCGTTCAATGAATTATCACAAAGTAAACTAGAACCCACCCTGTAACCACCCCCTTGATTAGGAAATAGATCACTACAAGCATCTCAGAAGTCCTCTGATGTAGAGAAAAATTTAAACTCAGATTTAAATAATTGCTAGAGAGACCTTGGATTTGGCATTACATTACAAATTGTGTTTTGATTGTCTTGCTTTTCTTCATTAAGTTAAGTGACTTTCCCTTTCTTTATAACAGAAAATAGCAATAGTTGGATAATGGTATGTTACTTAAAAGAATTTACTTTCTTTGCCACTAACATTCACTGAGCATCCACTGTAATAGAGTTTGGTAATAGCAGAAAGAAATCAACATTTACTGAATGCCCATTTACTTTTAGGCACCTGCACATACATTTTCTTAGTGAATCCTCTCTATCCTACAAGATATTATCCTTAAGGAAGAGGATTTTTATTCTCATTTTTATGCAAGAATAAACCAAGGCTTAGAAAGGTTAGATGATTTGCCCAATGTAATGCAATACTGTAGTATACTAAGTCCAGAGCTGTAAGTCTCCAAAGACCATGTTCTTTCTAATTCACGGTGGTGCAATAGATTAGTAGGTGACATACAACAAAATAACAATTACCCCAAATCTAAAACATGGATGTTTCAAAACACTTATTTTAAAGCATTGTTAAAAACTATCTAGCTATCTAGTATATTTATATTTCATTCCAGATTCTTTTCTTAAGAAAATTAAGTTAGAGCTAGCTTGATGTGAAGTTCCAGAGGTCCTCCCTGGTTTTAGTTAGTTGTAGCTCCAGGAGGAACAAAGACGTCTTTATTCAAGTAACAGAACTAAAAATGATCTCAAGGGCTGGACCTCCTTCCCTTCAAACTTACATTTGAATAGGAACAATTGGCCTTTAAAATACACATTCATTTCACTTTTGTTCACCCGCTAACCTTCCAGCAATTGGTATGCAGCTCTAGGCTCTCTGGGCTCTCAGATTCCATTGACGGAAGAACCTACCCCCAGCCTGCTGTGGGTTGTAAAAACTGAGAAGTGGCATAATTCCAAGAGCTTTGGACTTGGCAGAGGACACACCGAATGGCAATATGTGACAGTGCATATATCAACAGCCTTCTAGGAGTAAAGATTCTTAATAGCATCTTATTGAACTAATTGCCAGATCTCAAATTCACAGAGCATTTTCCTTAGTTCTTAGAGGCTTGAAAGATGCACCAAAAAGTAGCTGATTTTGTGGTAGGCAGTTAGACAGACACGAGGAGAGCAAGGACAAGAGGCCAGGTATAGTCACAAGGGTGGAAAGCAGTGGGAAAAACTGGGAAAACCAGGACCTCACTCTGCTCACAGGGTGACTTTCTCTCCCCTAGCATATCACTGGTCATGTGGTTTAAACCCCCAGACCTCTCCTGGTTTTAGAACTTCCTTAGAGGAGCAAGGGGCAAGAGAATAGCCTCATACCACTGCCCATACAAACCTTTGCACCACTACCCTTTGAGCATTAAGCCCTGGAGATAATATCTAAGCATCAGCTGTGTTTCAGTTCCAGGCCCAGAAAAGCAGCAAAACCGGGCAAAATAATGTCAGGACCAGCTGCGATGACTAATGACCTCCTTCCCCCGCAGGGACAGATCTGTGGAGACAATGACCCTGAAAGGACACACCTGGAAAGCTGATGAATATTCTATTGAGATCCTCCCTTGGGACCTTCCCTAAAGTCCTTGCCCTTAAAAGCCCTTACCAAGGAGGACTCAGTGTGGCTGCCTCTGTGGAACATGACAGGACCCTTCTCTACCACTTTCCAGGTACTTCCTGCTTCTCTCTTTCTCCTAAGCTCCAAGGGCCCTTCTTTTGCCTTTGTAACTTGCTTTCTGAGCCCAATTTCTTCTATGGCTCACTTTGCCTACCTTTGTGACTTTCTAAATAAACCTTCTCTTATAGTTTGTCTTGGCTCTGAATTCTTTCTTAGCCAGGACTCAAGTACTGATGTTGCCAATCCAATGTCTTGTCTGACTCCACTTGTCTAACAACTGGTGCCATTTCACTGCCAACAATTTCAACTTTATTATGTCACTTTTTCTTTCTGTTGAAATAACGAAGGTTGGCCAAACAGGGACTATTAAATGTGAGGGATGTCTAAAGAATTGACTTAAAAACACACACACACACACACACACACAAATGAAATGGAAAATACTCTGAATGCAGATATTTGGGAAAGCATCGGAATAGGCAGTAATCTTGTGACTGCTTGAAAATAAGGTTAAATAAACCTCATTGAATCCACGTCCACAACTGAAGAAATGTAACTGGAAACTTCTATCCAAGGCCCTGAGTTCACTGGCTGAGATCATTAGAATCCAAAATTTCCATGGTAACCTCCCCTTCCTTGTCTCCCATCTGACCCTTGGCAGCCCTCCCCCCTTCTATTCCCTCTCTATCCTTGATATCTAACATTGAGACCTGCCTTCTTGCCTCCCACTTCCTTTTTTCCCCTATATTCACCAACGCCTAAGTTATAAAAGTAGACTTTACAAATGAGTTGGGCATTCTGGTTAACCTTGGTGGACTGACTCCGTATCTTTATCTCCACTCCAGTGGTGTCCTGGAGTTGGTAACTGCTACATTTTCAGGAAGTCTGCAAGTCAGTTGTTAACACATCCACCCTTAAAATTAAATTCTGTAAACGGACAATTAGATAATTGATTTTAAAAAGGTAATCAGTATGCAAAACATGTCACTTCCTAATGATTTCACTATTATTTATGCCTTGAAGTTGTTTACCTTATTTAACTTACATAGTAAAAATTTGTTATAGAATGCTGTATTACTGCTCACCTTTTTCCCAACTCCACATTCAGTGATTTCACATTGGAAACTTTAAATTGGCCATGATAGGAGTATCTACACCACAAATATTATAAAATACTACAAATTAGGTCTTGATTTATTATTTTGTTGATTATTAAGAAAGTGAGGAAGAAAATGTTAATAATGCAGATTAAACTTAAAAGTGTGTCTTGTCTGTAGTAATTACATTGTGAATAGCACAAAAAATTGAGGTATGTTATTCTAGTATTTGAAAACAATTATCAGATTCATAAAGAAGTAACTTATATAACTAAAGTGAAGTCCTAACATAAATCTTTGTGTTTGCTTATCTCTTATTCCAGAGTAAACAAAAATATCAACCAACATTCATACCATTTATGGCTATCTTTCAGAACACCAAAAATAAAGAGATTCTAAACACTTCCAGAAGGGGGAAAAAGTATAAATATAGAGGACTGAAAATAGAATGGCAGCAAGGACTTCTAGCTAAGATGGAGGCATAGGTAGATACACTTTGCTTCCTTGTACAACCAAAAGAAGGACAACAACCAACTTAATAACAAAAAACAACCAGAACTGCCATAAAATTGAACTGTATTGAAGTCCGACAACCAAGGAATTAAAGAAGAAACATTCATCCAGATGGATAGAGGGGTGGAGTCAGGCAGTGGGGCAGACAAGATGCGCCAAGGTGGCTGGCATAGTGGGTGGTCCCATATTCACATGCAGATAAACCAGGAGGAACAATTGGGGAGAGAGACAGACCATGCAACCCAGGGTTCTAGTGCAAGAACTAAAATCTCAAAACCTCTGGTGGTAAAAACCTGTGGTGGAGGGAGAAACCCCCAGCCTCAGAGGAGAGTTCATTGGAGAGACCCACAGGGTCCTAGAATGTACACAAACCCACCCACCCGTGAATCAGCACCAAAAGGACCCAATTTGCTTGTGGGTAGTGGGGGAAGTGACTGAAAGCAGAAGAGCAGAGCAAGTGATATTGTTCCCTTTCAGACCCCTCCCCCACATACAATGCCATAACAAAGGGAAGTGGCTTGCTCCAACCTGGCAAATACCTAAGGCTCCGCCCCTTACAGCATAACAGGTGTGATAAGACAAAGAAATATGGCCCAAATGAAAGAACAGATCAAAACTCCAGAAAAAGAACTAAGCTACGAGGAGATACCAACCTATCAGATGCAGAGTTCAAAACACTGGTAATCAGGATGCTCACAGAAATGATTGAATATGGTTACAAAATAGAGGAAAAACATGAAGGCTATGGAAAGTGAAATAAAGAAAAATATACAGGAACCAACAGTGAAGGGAAGAAAACTGGGACTCAGATCAACAATTTGGAACAGAAGGAAGAAATAAACGTTCAACCAGAACAGAATGAAGAAACAAGAATTCAAAAAAAATGAGGAGAGGCTTAGGAACCCCTGGGACAACTTTAAATGTCCCAACATCCAAATCATAGGGGTGCCAGAAGGACAAGAGGAAGAGCAAGAAATTGAAAACTTATTTGAAAAAATAATGAAGGAGAACTCCCCAACTCTGGCCAAGGAAATAGACTTCCAGGAAGTCCAGGAAGCTCAGAGTCCCAAAGAAATTGGACCCAGGGAGGAACACATCAAGACACTTTCTGGAACTGGGCCATCTCCTTCTAGCTCTTTCCTAATTTCTCAAGAGTCCTATGAAAGCTGATGTATGTCATCTTGGAAATTATTTTTCAGTTAAAAAAAACTGAACTAAACCACATTTTCTCCTCTTTCTTCTCTGGCAGAGGGAAAGAGAGACCTGGGCTCTAGGTCACTCTAATAGTTTTCTAACTAACTACAGTAATTAGCACATGCAGAGAATTTACAGAATATGTCAAATCTGTCAGTGTCAAAAGGTGCAGTCTGAGATATTCTCAAATTAATGTTCCATTAAAAAATAATCACAGGTCTATCAAAAATTAAAGATAATTCCTACCCCAAACAGGACAGAAGCCTCAGCAAGCTAAGGTTTTCATCATTGTTTTATTAAAAGCATTAGATACTCTGTAGAGGACAATTGTCCAATTTAAAGAATATCCAGTAGTCTTCCTTGAGATTAAAACACATGTACCTGTCCCCTTTCCAAGAGTAATGAGACATACACATTCTTTTTGTTTGGGTAGGTAATATTCTAATTGCCAATACTAGGTTCATTCTTTCATGATTACTCAAAGCATTTTTCCTATTTTTTTAAATTCAAAAATATCAACCAACATTCATATCATCTATGGCTATCTTTCAGAACACCAAAAATAAAGAGATTCTAAACACTTCCAGAAGGGGGAAAAAGTCTAAACATAGAGGACTGAAAATAGAATGGCAAAGGCCATTTTACTTCTCTTGTTTTGAAAAGGTTTTAAGGCCAATTAAAAAAAACCTGTACCGCCCTGGCCCAGTGGCTCAGCTGGTTTGCCTACACTAAAAGTTTGTGGGTTTGATCCTGGTCAGAGAACATACCTATATTGCAATTCCATCCCCGGTAGGGGCGCAACCCAATCAATGTTTTTCTCTCTCTCCTCCTCTTTCCTTCCTTTCCTCTCTCTCTAAAAATCAATAAACATATATCCTTGGGTAAGGATTAAAAAAAAAAAGATATATGGTTACGTTGGAACCTGGCGTACCGCTTCTTAACCGCCTCAAACCTCTGCACCACTTCATCGCCCCTCCTAGTCCAGCCAAAGTCCCCACCTCCGTAAACCTTAAGAACACAAGCAGCAACAGGCCCAGCCATGGAAAACGCAAGCCCGGGTAACAAAGGAAGATATCCCTGCACTTACTAGTCTAAGAGCCCGGGGATTAGATGAAATCCAGGCAATGGCCTCGCCCTCGTCATGAAGAAAAATTCAAAATTAAAACCTTATGGTGGAAGGACCAATCGTAGCCGTGGTCTCTCCACGAATAGTGCTCCCAGTGACGTAGGAGCACAGCCTGGCTTGTGATTGGCTGAGACAGCACAAGTTGCGGCCAATCAGAGCTGAGGCGCTTCTGGTATGAATAAGGAGAAGGCGGGAGCGAGGGGAGAAGTAGGAGAGGAAAGAAGGTGTGTCACTTCCCTTACGCCATGTGTGGAAGCCTTTGTGTAATTGGTTGGCTCTCTTCCCTATTGCACCAATCGCAATCTTCTCTGCTGAGCCCTAACTATGAAATTGAAAGTAGAGACGAGAGTGCAACCAATGGAAAAAAGTGAGAGTACAGCAGCCAATCTTTCTGCGACGTTTTGTGTCTTTGCCCAACAGGAAAAGGTGTTTCATGAGGAAAGGCGTTACCTAGTCGCCAATGGGCGGGCGCCGGTGAAGCGGAGGAGCCAATGAGTGCAAGATGTTGAGTGACAGCTGTCCAATAGGGACCCTCAGTGCTAGTATGGTTTGCGGCGTGAGCGCCGCCGCGGCCTGAGGAATGTCAACTATTCAACATGGAGGAGGAGGTCGATAAGCTGGAATTGATGGTGAGTGTAAAGTGAAGGAGATCTACTGGGTAGTGTATTTTCCCTCCGATGGCCTCCAAAGTGGGACACAATTTGGAGTCGCCGGAAACCCCGGGTGGCGGAGGCTGGACCAGACCTGAGTTCCCTCCTCCTGCACCAAAGGGAGTCGCCGTCGCCTGGTCTTTTAACCGCCGCGGGGAAGGGGTTACATCCGGGAAACTGGTGAGGGAAATGGCGGGAGATGGTGAGGGTGTGGGGCCATTGGAATTTTTTGTTCCTTGCCCTCACCTTTCCGCCCCTCAAGGAGCTGTAGCTGGTGTAGATGTTTGTATTTCCACCAAAAAGGCGTGACTGGAAAGGTCCCAAAACGCCCCAAAAGGGGAGAGGTCGTTCACACACCAGAAAAAGGGGATGGAGGGTGGGGTTGGGTGGGGATAAACCGAGTGTGGTGGACAGGAACAGCTTCAGGACTGAACTGTTCGCTTCCTCCAAGGCGGGCTGGAAAGTCTGAGAAAGGATGCTAGATTTTGCGTGCTCAACTTCCTAGTGGCCAAGAAAACCCCTACACCAGTTTTTGTTGGGCCCAAAGGGGGCAGGCAATCCTTGGGTGGGGGAGCGAGCGATGGGCACCTAAACCCTGGGCTCCTTTCCTGGAGCACCGGCAGGATTGGGACGAGGAAGGCACCCCGCTCTTGAGTTGCTTGGTTTCATTCATTTGTGAAAGTAGGGGGCGGGGGCGAATAATTGGAAAGGACTCCCGCTGCTGCTTGGCCTTCACGAGGACGCCAAGCTGGAGAGCTGTCCTAGTTTTCTTCTATGGATCCTTCTCTCATTTGTCCTCTTTATTCCTTCCCTTCCGTCCCTAGACTACTAGCTACTAGCTTGATCGCCCGCGCTTTTTTCTTTTTAGTTCCCTTGTTTTACCTTCAGTCCTTTCCCCGCCGCGTTACTAGTTTTGTTTTGTTTTGTTTTTTAATTGGGCTGATTTCCTTTAAAACGTGGAATTTGGAGGACTCACCCGTCATTGAGCTCCTGTCGGTTTTTCATTAAAGAAAAATAAGATGAAGCCAAAATCTTTCTTCACCCGAAATTCGCCCCTCCTCCCCTTGCCATTCCCTGGCATTCCTCCTCAGGTATCGTTTAGCTTGGGCCTCCGAGCTAAATCTTGGGTCACGTTAATGATTCTGGAAGAAACTGAATACCATCCTCACCCCATTCCCACGCCCAGAAAATGTGAGACCTTAATATAAATTATTTTCTTCCGATGTATTAATGAATTGTAAATGCCTCATATATAAATTTGATTTGCACTGTCCGTTATTCCTAGTGTTTTGATTTAATTTTCTGGGTTGGGTGGGGTTTGGTCAGAGATAGGGAGGGAGAGAAAGGGCAGAGAAGGATTTTCTGCAGCTTTCCAAACCTGTAATAATGAACTCTTAGTTCAAAGTTTTGTTATTTTTATCATTAACTGTCTTAAAAGTTAAAGTATTGTAGTAGTTTGATTCTAGCAACAGGAAAAATGTTAACATTGTCTTGCCCTTCTCCCCATTCTGAATTCCTCCCTCCACATCGATACTTCTGTCTAATTATAAGATGCTAAATGATACTAGTTTTGCTTTTAACAGTTTTTTCCCCCTCAAGTTGGCTGTTTAGTTTTGAGGTACCAATTAAGCCTTTTCTGGACTTTGCATTATATTGAGTCAATATTCTCACAGGACAAGCATTTTTAGAGAGGAAAGAGAAGAAAGCAGGTCATCTTAACTTCCTTGCATCTGAATCAGTTTAGTTTCTGAGATTCTAAAGGTAAATCATTTTTGGTGCAATCCTCTGATTTTTAGTTGAAATATTCTCATATCTGAATTATGTGGGCTAGGATTTGCGGTCAAGACACTCATGTTCCAGCTGTTCTGAATCTGAGTTCATTGCTTCCTGGGTTCAATCCAAGTAGTAGCTGAACTGGACCATCTAAGGGAAGGTTAATGAAAGTATGGAAAGGTTAATGGAAAGTATGTTTGCATCAATCAACATTACTAGGAAAAAAAGCTTATTGTGTAGGATAATCTTTGTTCTCTTCCTTTACTTAGGGGTATTTGTCTATTTCTGGGCTTACATCTGACTTTTGAATGGTTTCACAAGTTAGAAGGTTAGGATGTTAATTGGCTTGAATTCAAGGAAACCTGGTACTTACTGTAAATCTTTACATCTTGGAATACCTAACCCCCTATTATCCAATTATTATTTTCTTTGATTTTAAGTTTGAAAGAAAGGGAGGTGATCTATATTTAAGATGTTTTATGGGTCAACTGAAAATTTAAAATCCTCTTTTATAATATTCAGTTAGGGAAGGCTAAGGGTGTTATGTTTAGGACACATTGATTCCCTGGAAGTCTGTAAACTCTAGATAAAAAGCCCTAAGATGGTAAGTACTTTTTGTATTGCAGTTTAATTTCCAGAGATAGATTGGGTATATAGAGACTGGGAAACATTATTTTACTTTTTATTTTTCTTCTTTGATATTCAAAAGACTTGTTTTATATGGCAGTTAATTGTTATGGAGGAACTAATCAACTCATCTCAGCTGAACAGAAATATTTTTCACAACTTGGCCTTAGTAGTAATTATAACCAGTTTTGTTAAAACCAGTCCTAAGGTATTAACATTTCCCATGTTAATAACTTGTAAAGCTTAGGACATATTTACAAAATTCCTTTCTACATCTATATGCATGTTTCTATTTCAATATAAGTCATAGGTTAGTCATCAAAAAACATCACTTTGATATGTGAGCCCAAGTCTTTTTTTTTAACATTGATATGTTTTTAGGTTTTGCATGTTTTCTGTGCAAAATGGCAATTCTTTAAATTCTTTCCTCACTGAAGCTTCAACTGATGCAAGATGCTTTTGTGTTCCTTTCCTACCATCTGCTAACAAATGCTCTGACTTTATTGCACTACTGTACTTTACACTAGCAGTGCAATAGTATTGTCAAAGCATCTGAAAGCAGGATACACACCAGAATTTTGATTATTGCCTTACATCTTCAGTATCTGTGAGTAATCTACCGAAATCTTTGTTGCTGAAAACTTTTATTTTTTATTATAAGGAATTTTATAACCAAAAGTATTTTAAAAAGTTATACTTTGAAAAAAATGTTTTTAGCTAATTAAAAACTCACTGTTGTAATGCATTATGAAACACATTAAGAGAATAATTTTTATAGTTTAAGTTGTTATGGCTAATTTAAACAAGTAGTACTTTGTAATGTGCTTCTTTCTGTGACAAATTCAGATAGGCTTTGGCAAATCTCAGATTTTATTTGAATTTTAAGATGAATTAGTAAGTGATGAAAATAATGTCATCACTTACCAGTGATGAGATAAAATAAAGTATGAATCCAGCATTATATTTTGTAATCAGTTCTATAAAGATATAGTTTACATACACTAAAACTCACCCATTTTAGGTGTACAATTTGATGAGTTTTGACAAATATGTACACTCATGTAACCACAATCGCAGCCATGATGTAGAACATTTTCATCAGCTTAAGGAAGTTTCCTTAATTCCCTTTTGCAGTCAACCTCCATCTCCTCCGAGGCTCCCTGACAACCACTGACTTTCATGTAAATGGAATTATATACAGCATGTAGTCTTTGTGTCTGTTTTCTTATACTTAATGTAATGCTTTTGAGATTTGTACATGTTATATGTATTAGTAGTTGGGCCATTTTTATTGCTAAGTAGTATTCCGTTGTATAGAGTATCACAAATTCTTTATTCATTCACTAGATTATCAATTTTGGGTTGTTTCCAATGTTTGCCTATTATGAATAAGTTGTTACAAACATTTTATTACAAGTCTTAGTGTGGGCATAATGTTCTTATTTCTCTTGGCTGGCATGATAAAAGTATGCTTGATTGTTACTGTAGACCAGTGGTTTTGAACCTTTTGGCATCTGTGTGCCACACTGGAAGAAAAGTTGTCTTGGGCCACATATTAAATACATTGCGATACGTAATCACAAAAAAAATCTCATCCTGTTTTAAATAAATTCACAATTTTGTGTTGGGCCGCATTCACAGCCATCCTGGGCCACAGGTTGAACACCCATGAGTGGACAGGCCGTTGGAGAGTCTCCCCCATTGGCCAAAATGGTGGCAGGGGGAGGATCTTACACTGAGCATTCCAAAAGCTAGAAAAATAATTGGATAGGAGAACAAAGCCCCCCGCCCCTATGCCTATAAGAACCCTCGGTGGGTTAGAGAAGGAAGATGAGATGGTTTTAGAGCTGGGAGTCCACAATTTTCCCAGGTTTTGTGGTACTTGAATAAATCTTTTTCCTTTTACACCAGCACCTGCCTAATGAGTTTGGCTTTTGTGGCAGCAGGCAGCCCAACCTCCATTTTAGTTCTGTTACATGATCCTCTAAGAATCTTGAAATCTCTTCCAAAGCTACCTGTTAAGGTTTCAGATTCTTTACATCCTCACCAACGCTTCATGTTAGTCTTCTTCATTTTAGCCATTCTCATAGGTGTGTAGTTGTATCTCATAGTTTCAACTCACATTTCCTTAATGGCTAATGATATTGAATATCTTTTCTTGTGCTTATTTGCAATTGTTATATCTTTAGTGAAGTGTCAAATTTTTTGCCAATAGGGTATGAAAGGCCATCAATATGAGCTCATTTAAAAATCAAGTGGGAAATTTTTTTCTTTCTTGGAGCAAAGTAAAAGTTTTAAAGAAACCAAAATATCTTTGTTAGCCAAACATAATACAAAGTTTTAATATTAACAATATCCCAGATAGCCCTGACTCATGTGGCTCAGTTGGTTCGGCAACATCCTGCAAAGCCAAAGGTTGCTGGTTTGATCCCCAGTCAGGACACATGTCCAGGTAGTGGGTTCAGTTCCCATTTGGGGCGGGGAAGGGGGCGGGGTGTGTGTGCAAGAGACAACCAATTGGTGTTTCTCACATCAAAGTGTCTCTTCTTCTCCTTCTCCCTCCATTCCCCTCTCTCTAAAAATAAGTAAATAAAATCCTTAGGGTTAAAAGAATATCTCAGATAAATATTTTTAGATTTTAAAAAGTAATACTATTTCTTTATTTTTTTATCCTCACCTGGGGCATGCTTTTTGATTGTGGATTCATGAAAATAAATGATTTTTTTAAGCCATTGAGTTTCTTGGTATCAT